AGCCCGTTCCGTGAATGCGTGTTCATCAAGACATTAGCATCTCATGTGAATAGAAAAGCATGAAGCATTTACCATTGAGGGGCGAGTCGGTGTACGGGTCAGTGTTTTGTCCTTCCAGACAAGTCTGGTACCAATTAACCGACCCCGGAGGGATGGAAGGCTTGGTTGGCCCGGGCGACTCACGACCCAGGATTTGATCCCCGGACCGCACGCGTGGATAAACGTGCCATTGCTCTCTACACCAGTGCGCATCTATTAAATATGGATGGAGGAGAACTTCTCGATGCATTAGTGTCCCGTTTTCCTCGGTGTTTGTACCCCAATCGAATGAAATCACAAATTTTAAAAATACTCAAGCATTTGCGAGAATTTCTCTCTCCAAGAAAATCCCTTCTGTAAAAATTTTCTGTTTTTTTTTTCGAGAAGGCCGTCCTTAATGCTACTGCAATTTTCTTCATTTCATTCACTTTAGAAACATCGGAGTCCTTCCTGAAACAGTTTTCTGTTGCTGACAACTCGAATTTGAAGCGCTTTGCACCAACAATTTCTGCCATGGTGTTCGCCGCCTACGCTGCACCTCTAATTCGCCGACCTTTTCACTGTCGATTTTCCTTGCTGATCACCGCGATTGCGAACCCATCCTATCACGTGGACCAAATACGATCTCCGTCGTTGGTAATTGTACCACCATACGGGAGACCCTTTATGCAGGTCATTCACATGACCTCTGTCTGGGTTGCATCTTTGTGGGAAATGGTGAGGTCTTCAACATTTTTTATCAGACAGAATCTCATATATGGGGATAAAACAATCAGAACAAAGTGAACAATATGAAGCTAAGAGAAAAATTGCGAATCATAAGAGTCGCCCAGGTGTTGAACACGGCTAATGCATATAAAGTCTAATCGCAAGTCTTATCAAGGAGCAGTAATGTACAGTGGAAGGGAGGAAAACGAACGAAATGTAATGCGAAACATTCAAATACCTATAGTGGCTACGGTTCATAGAAAGGTACCCACACGTTACAGTGTGGGTTGGGAGAATATGCAGAATTGGCTGGACAATTGTAAGCTACTTGGAAGGCTGGATAGTTCTGAATTGTTCCGAATACTCGATATTTCGATGGAGAGTGGGGATCGACCATGAGTTGTTTGTACTGCAAGTCTTGTGTACGCTCCTTTTCACACCAAACCTGAAATCGAAGGATTCGGAAGAACTGTGATTACATTGAAACATGCAGTTTCCTAAACAGCTTCATTGGCACAGAGAACTTACTTGAGCGAAGTTCAAGAAGAACAGCTGATCGTGAGTGAACTGCCCGAAAAGACGGTCCGGTAGCAATGGATCTGGGCCGTCCAAAGCGATGTGAGTGCGGTAGGCGCGGAAGGCAGCGTGAATACCTTACAATTAAAAGGGAAAATTTTTGTGAAACTGAATTCCGAAAAAAAAACTGGTTACTCACCTCCGTTGTCTGCAATGTTCTCTCCTTGTGTCTGGGCACCGTTCACACAGTTGGGAGTGTACTTGTTGGGGTCAAGGGGGCAGAATTTATTATACTCTGAAATAAATGCACCTATAGGCCATCACTGAAGACTTTTGGAACGCCTGCTATCGTAGTTGCGTGTCTTCTTCATAATCAAAACAATTGATGCGCATCATTGGAGATTCTCAGCTCAAGAACTGACAAAGCTAATTCTGCTCCTCTTCACATGATTTCCTCTTACGCTGCAACCTGCCTTCACAGTATCTTCCCACTGAGGGGAAGTGATGTCCTAATACGGCGAAGCGCGCTAGCAAGGGGTCCACCGCTACGTTGAGAAACCCGCTGCAACGGGGTTCCTCAACTCCAACGGTCATTGTGGTCGATTGTGTCGCTGACGCACTATCATTCCACACACTTGGAGTCCTCACCGAAACCTCAGCAATTCCTCAGCCTCAAGCAGAGGGGGGGGGGGTGAGGAATGGCCGGTGGCAGAGGAAGAGGTGTGTACTATCGCTCCTGACACAGCGGATTCTGGATATTTTCGTCTAACTCATCATATTTCTAATGACAGGTTTTCCATTATATCAAGAAAACCATCCCTCCGAAGAATTCAACCTTTGTTCCAGGTACGACCCTCAGGCTGGCACCTTCTGGCATACCAACAGGCGATTGAAGGCTTTAGGAACTGATGTGGTTCTTGTACACGAATACGAATGTATTGGTGCGAAGTGGGCCGGCAGTGAAGAAAAAAGGAAAAGAATCCGTCGAAAACGCTCAGGTTGAGGGCTCTCACCTTCCTAATCGGCTGTGCTAAGGAATGAGAGACTAAGCGCGAGAGGAGAGTATGAGGCGAGAGAGCGCAACAGATGAGAGGGAGCCAGACGACTTGCCATGAGAGT